GTCACTGGACTTTTTTGCACGATTCTGCCATATGGGGGGGGCCGTACCTCTCGTTCCTTTTTGACTTGCCTAAAATGTTTCACAAAAATTGTCAGGTAATAATCACCAGCACGGCTTGCAAAAGTGTGTGGGGGGGGATTTTCATCCCGAAAGGGTTTTCACTCAAAGACTTAGCACAGTTTCCTTTATCTTTGTGTAGGCAACTTTTTTCTCTCCCCTCCTCTGAACCAGTTTCCTCAGTTGGCCCCCTTGCCTTTAAGTTGTTTATCCTTTATCAGTGGTTAGTTCTTTATTGTCCTCCTCCACCAACTCTTCCCCATCCTCCCCACTAACCCCCACCCAAGGGGTTTTCCCCAAAGCCACAATGGATTTTAACTGGCACGGATTCTCAGGGTTAGCCTCAAACCCTTTTAAAAAACCCTTTTGTCTTTCACATTCTGGCCACAGTTTTTTTTCAAACGGTTCAAGGCCCTTTGTCACTTTCCCAAGCCTTACCTTAAGGTTTACACAATTAGGATATTAAAGGGTTTTCCAAAACTCTTTGGTAGTTTAGTTTTCTGGGTCTTACAAGCCTTTTAAACGAGCTTTTTTGTACAGTTTCTTGAAGTTGGAAAAACCTGCTGGTCAGGGGTCAGGAGAGGGGTGGGGTTAGGGGCAAAAACTTACCTTAATGAAGTCTGTCCCCAAAAGTTTGCTCTGCCAGTCTGTAGGGTGACGGGGGCTTGTCTAACCCAGGAGGCCTTAATTTAATTTTTTTCAGTTAGGTAAAATTTTTTAATTGGGGGCAAATGATGGTGTAACCGTTATAGAAAAATTCCTAGTGACCACCTTATGTTTGCCCCCCCAGCACCACAAAATTTTCCTTGAGGGCTTCTTTTGCCGAACGCTCTGGGAGTTTCAGAGTGATACACTAATAAAGGCTTCCCTTTTCAAACCCAGTAGCATTGGCACACATCAAAAAAGTAAGCCTGTCTTTCATAGGTTTTGTCCCGGGATGCCTTTTCCTCCTGAGTAATGTAGGTTTGCTTGGGGTTTTTTTTCCCGAAAAAGGCCTGTTTATCCAAAAATTAAACATTGTTCAGGGTTTTAGTCCTTCGTTTTTATGTACCCCTTTAAATTTGAATTTTTTTCAGCCGCTTTGGGTCCCAAAAATGCAGCCTCACCATGCTTTTTCACATATGGATGCCACCTACGTTCTTAAAACTCTCAAACCAACCCTTTTCTGGCCTTAAATTCACTCTCATCACTGTTGCAGGCTTTTTTTTAAATTAAATCCCCATGCAATTCCCTAGCCTTTTCCCTATGATGTTTGGGGTGCTACTCCGCTATTTGTTTTTCATTTTTTCCCCCCAATAAGAGTCTCCCCCAACATCTTCCATCACTTTCGATTTTGTTCGAAAACACAGTTTAACCTTTGGCAAAACGCTTCCCTTTATTGTCTTTTGGGCCCCCAATGTAGCGTGGTTGATTGGGGTTTCTTGTAAGCTTTACTAGGTCGGTAACGCACTCACTTTATATTATCAATTATCTCTTTCTTCCTCTCTATAGTATTTTACCCTTTGAGGTGTAGGGTTGGCCCCCTAGAAAACTTTCTTGGGGCCCCCCTGGTCATTATTTTCCCGAAACGCACCCCAAATACGTAAAAACGAAATATCCCAGTGTATGCTTTGGTGTTACCCCCGGAGGGGTGGTAAACAAGGGAGGGGCGGCACATGTGAGGCGGCTGAGGGGACATTGGACACGTTCCCCGGACGAAAAAATCGGTAAGCGGGTTTTTAAATCGGTTGCGCGGCAAAAAATTTTGGATAAAATAAACGTTATGCGGAAAAAATCGCTATGTGATGCCTCGTTTTGGCGGGGGGCCACTGTAGTATAAAGATATAAAACACATACCCCAACGTACCCCTACCATCTGACTTTCACAAGTTCGGTTGGGAAAAGGTCTAAGTCGAAATGACATAAGTCGAAACTTTACTACTGAATATCAAACAAAACATTTTTGTAATTTTTTATTTTTTGTTTTATTTTGGTTATTTCAGTTTTTACTATTACTTTTTATGTTGTTTTGTACGTATTTTGTACTGTAAGGGGGTTTGGAAAACACTGTTACAACAAGATAGTTTTTATTTCCCCGAAATTTGGCATAAAAAAAAACGGTGAAATCGAGGGTCGTAAGTCGAGCAGGTCGTAGTCGGATGGTAGGGTTTTATTTTTTATTTTTTATTTATTTTTTATTTATTTATTTTATTAAATTTATTTTTTTTTACAAGTCGGCCATTCCCACCGAGGGAAAGGGTGACCCAAAAAAAGAAAGAAAAAACCCCGAAAAAAAGAAAATACTTCCATCATCATTCAACACTTTACCTCAACACACATAAAATGTTTTTGTAGAGGTTTCCAAATAAAAAAAGTTTAGAAGCTATACGTATAAAGTTTCACAAACATTCCCTCCAAAAATTGCCAATTCCCAAACCCCCCCTTTAACCCCCCCAGGGGTCCCCAAAGGCCCCAAATCTAAGTGGGCCCCAATTCCAAAAAATTTTCAAAACAAAATTTTTTCTTTTTTTTTTATGAAATGGTAGAGAAATTTTGTTGTGAAGGTAAAAAACAAAAAGACAAATTTGATGTAAAATTGAGGGTTTTGTCTCGCGAATTTTGATGTGTCAGGAATTTACGAAACGGCGATTTTGCCGTTTGACTCCTTTTTGGCCCCAATTTATTATTCCGGGCAACCCAAAATTTTTAGCTATTTCACTGTATTACTTCTATTCTATCGATTGAGCACAAGAAATCGCCAAGTCAACTGTTTCAACTACAAATTAAAGTGATCGGAAATTGTTAATTTGGCCAATTTAACACAAAGTTCAAAATATTCCAATTTCAAAATAGGGTCCAGAATAAACAATGTAGGTATTCCTGGAACTAAATTAACATTTCCTCTGTTCATTAGTTACATTTTGAGGCTTTACAAATAAATTCCATTTTAATTTTTTATTCACATAATGAATTTTTATTCACACCAAAAAATAGAAGATTTACTGTTATGCAATACTGTAATAATTGTATAAATATCATCACCATATTTGTGAATGCATATTAGACCCACCAGCTGGCGTGTATTAGACGTGTGAGGTCGTTTGTTTACTCTTGAATATCGGCAAAAATTTAACATTTCTGCTACTTTGAGCTCAGTTTCAAGCCATTTCCAGTGGTAAAACCAATCAAAATTATCTCTATTTCTGTAATATGTCTTCCATTCTATCAAATGAGACCAAGAAATCGCAAATAGAACTATAAAAAACATACGAAAAAACACTGCAAAGTCGCTGTTTTAATCGAAAAATCATGATTTCAGTTTTTTTCTCTCATTATACACAGCGTGCTGCAGGAACTGTTTTATGTGGTGCACACATACCACATAGATGTATTCTCTCATATCTAGGCCCAAATGTACTACTCACAGTTTATCAGAGTGAGCTGAGCTCATGACGTAGATCTACGGTTTGGATCCTGAACGTAAAGCCATAGATCTACGGGACGGACCCTCAAAGGGTTCAAGTGCAGACATTGTACTTCCCATTTCCAGGAGTCAAGTCTGGCTATATAAAAATAACTGGTTTCCCTGAATCCCTTCACTAAATATTACCCTGCTCACACTCCAACAGCTCGTCAGGTCCCAAATACCATTCGTCTCCATTCACTCCTATCTAACACTCATGCATGCTTGCTGGAAGTCCAAGCCCCTTGCCCACAAAACCTCCTTTACCCCCTCCCTCTAACCTTTTTGAGCTATCTTGTTTAGTCTGTGTATAGTCCTTCAGTTTGGTTTTTAAGGGCTACAGTATCATATTGAAAGTATCCTGTCTGTTTATATACTGTATAAGATCATTGTAGTTATTTCTCAGTGTTTTATGGCTGTTTTCACTTGATTTTGACTAATTTCTTTCCAGTCCTTGTTCAGTTTCTTGAAAACTCATTTGATTGGTGGATTAGTGGTTTTATACCATGTAGCAAAAATTGCTATCTCTTATTTCTGCTTTTAGAATTTTGGTCCTTTCTATTCTTTCCTTGATTTTGATTATATCTTCTTTCAATAGGTCTTGCCTAATGGTTATGGATTTGCCGTCTTCATGTTTCCTTAGGTCATTGGCTCTTGTCAGTAAATCTTCCATTTGCCTGACACTGGTGAGTGTTAGTTTTAAGAGCCCAGTTTTTTTCATTTCTTATATTTACAGTATTTTTTTCTATAAGCTGCCACTTGCTATTTTATTCTGAAACCTTCTTTGTGCTTTATCCTATTGATTTGTCGTCTTCCTTGCTATTTCTTTCAGTTTAAGTTTTCATTTCATTAGTCAAAATAGCTGTAATTTGTGGCTGTATTTAAAGACAATTTTTTCCCTTTACTACTTGTTTTCTTTTTTTGGTTTCTGCCTGCTGAATTGGGAAGTTTTTTAGTGTTGTGTTAAGGAACTTGTCTGCCTGATCTCTTGATACCTATGTCTGACTTCATTGTTTCGAAACCTCACTTCCTCCAATTTTTCTTTGCATATTTTTTTTATTTTTATTATAGACAATTTTTATTGTATTTCCAAGATTATTTCTATACCATAAATTCTCAGGACCTCAAATAACCATCCAAATTCACATGATCATATCCTTTTTCCATCATTATCATGGACAGTATCTGATCTGTACATCTGTTAATTTTGCAGTCTTCTTGGCTTGTGCATATTCTATTACATCATTTCCCTCACCCTTTTAAATGTGTTATCTATATACTTTTTATGGTATTTTCAATGTTCATTTTCATATAATTTCTGAGCTAATCCTTAAGAACTGTTACCATCTGTAAAGTTTTTTTTTTATAATACTTTTGAAAGATTTCAGGTTCCCTAAGAGTGATTGTTATAAATGCAAGACCTACAAGAGGCATTTAGTCTAATTAGAGTACTTGAGTAATTGAATTTCTGGCTTGTGATATGTTTTGTCGTTCTTTTCAGCTAATATAATGTACAGCACATTAGGCATGGCAGAACCTGATGGCAACCTAGCTTCATCAAGATCTCGTGGCAGACAACCTGTTCAGGATGACACAGCCACTGTTGGAGATGCACCAGTTGAGGGACAAGCTGGTGTGCAGCGGGATGGAGACACCACAAGAAGGAGAATGGTAGAAAATGGACATGTGGCTGTAGAGACTGTAGATGGGGATTCTGGTTTTACTGAAGAATGGGCCTTGCATCGTGATGAGCGAGCTTTGAGAAGACGAGAACAGGTACATATTACCTGTAGCAGCTTTGATGTGTCCTTGCCAAGTTACCCTTTTATCAGTGATAACTAAAGTTTTTTATTTTTTTTTGCTCGGTTGGTACTATATAAAAATGACATTTAAATTAGATATTCTTTCCATTATGATAATGGGAAGAGAAGTCATTTAATAATTTTTTTTTTTTTTTCAACAAGTCAGCCGTCTCCCACCGAGGCAGGGTGACCCAAAAAAGAAAGAAAATCCCCAAAAAGAAAATGCTTTCATCATCTTTCAATACTTTCACCACACTCACACATAATCACTGTTTTTGCAGAGGTGCTCAGAATACAACAGCTTAGAAGCATATACGTATAAAGATACACAACATATCCCTCCAAACTGCCAATATCCCAAACCCCTCCTTTAAAGTGCAGGCATTGTACTTCCCATTTCCAGGACTCAAGTCCGACTATATGAAAATAACCTGTTTCCCTGAATCCCTTCACTAAATATTACCCTGCTCACACTCCAACAGATCGTCAGGTCCCAAGTACCATTCGTCTCCATTCACTCCTATCTAACACGCTCACGCACACTTGCTGGAAGTCCAAGCCTCTTGCCCACAAAACCTCCTTTACCCCCTCTCTCCAACCCTTTCGAGGACGACCCCTACCTCGCCTTCCTTCCCATATAGATTTATATGCATTCCATGTTATTCTACTTTGATCCATTCTCTCTAAATGACCAAACCACCTCAACAACCCCTCTTCTCCCCTCTGACTAATACTTTTATTAACTCCACACCTTTTCCTAATTTCCACACTCCGAATTTTCTGCATAATATTTACACCACACATTGCCCTTAGACAGGACATCTCCACTGCCTCCAACTGTCTCCTCGCTGCTGCATTTACCACCCAAGCTTCACACCCATATAAGAGTGTTGGTACTACTATACTTTCATACATTCCCTTCTTTGCCTCCATAGATAACGTTTTTTGACTCCACATATACCTCGATGCACCACTCGCCTTTTTTCCCTCATCAATTCTATGATTAACCTCATCCTTCATAAATCCATCCGCCGACACGTCAACTCCCAAGTATCTGAAAACATTCACTTCTTCCGTACTCCTCCTCCCCAATTTGATATCCAGTTTTTCTTTATCTAAATCATTTGATACCCTCATCACCTTACTCTTTTCTATGTTCACTTTCAACTTTCTACCTTTACACACATTCCCAAACTCATCCACTAACTTTTGCAATTTTTCTTTAGAATCTCCCATAAGCACAGTATCATCAGCAAAAAGTAACTGTGTTAATTCCCATTTTGAATTTGATTCCCCATAATTTAATTCCACCCCTCTCCCGAACACCCTAGCATTTACTTCCTTTACAACCCCATCTATAAATAATTAAACAACCATGGTGACATACAACATCCCTGTCTAAGACCTACTTTTACCGGGAAGTAGTCTCCCTCTCTTCTACACACCCTAACCTGAGCCTCACTATCCTCATAAAAACTCTTTACAGCATTTAGTAACTTACCACCTATTCCATATACTTGCAACATCTGCCACGTTGCTCCCCTATCCACTCTATCATATGCCTTTTCTAAATCCATAAATGCAATAAAAACTCCCTACCTTTATCTAAATACTGTTCACATATATGCTTCAATGTAAACACTTAGATCTACACATCCCTTACCCACTCTGAAACCTCCTTGCTCATCTGCAATCCTACATTCTGTCTTACCTCTAATTCTTTCAATTATAACCCTACTGTACACTTTTCCTGGTATACTCAATAAACTTATTCCCTTATAATTTTTACAATCTTTTTTTTCCCCCTTTTCCCTTTAATGAAGGGACTATACATGCTCCGCCAATCCTAGGTCCCTTCCCCCTCTTTCAAAATTTTTTTAAACAAAGTACCCCCCACCAAACACATATCCCCCCTGTTTTTAAAAACATTTCGTCTGATCCCATCTTCCGTGCTTTACCCCCTTTCATTCTACGTAAGCTTGCGCCCTCCCCCCCCCTTACATTCTGCTCTTCTTTACTCCTAAAAAATGGGATACCTCCCTGCCAGTGATGAAATTACCCCCCTCCCTTTCTTCCTAACATTTAAAATTCCTAAAATTTACATAAGAACATAAGAAAGGAGGGAAAACTGCAGGAGGCCCGTGCCCAACTGGGGAGGGCCTTTAAAAATTATCCCCCTAACAAAACATTTGCCCAACCCATTTTTTAATGCCACCCAAGAAAAAGCTTGATGTGAAAGTCCCACTCAAAAACCCAACCCCCCCCATCATGTACTTATCAACCTAGATTTGAAACTACCCCCAAAATCCCAGCCCCAATAACCCACTAGTAGATTTCCTCATCAAATACCCCCATTTCCAACCCATACTTTCCTATGTCCTTTCTAAATCTAGACTTATTAATTTAAACCATTTCTGCGGGTTCTTCTTGGAGAGAATCCCAAGACCTTATTTAAAATCCCCTTTATTAATCTTATTAATATTCTCGCCACAATAAACCTCCCTCCCCCATCTACTAACTCCCCTACTCTTTTTTAAAAACCCCTTTTACGTCGCGGCGTTATATACGTTTGCGGGTACAGTGTTTGACGAATATACCATAAAATTTAGCGGGTTCAAAAAGGCAGGAGAAAAACAGTAGGCCCACATGTGAGAGAATGGTCTGTGTGGTCAGTGTGCACCACATAAAAAAATCCTGGGCACGCAGTGCAAAATGAGAAAAAAAAAACTCCGACGTTTTTTTTTAAATTTAAAAAGCCCACTTTTTTGGGGTTTTTTTTCGTATAGTATTTGTGGTTGTATTCTCGTTTTCTTGGTCTCATTTGATAGAATGGAAACTATATTATAGAAATGGAAGTGATTTTGATTAATTTTACTATAAAAAGAACTGGAAATGGAGCACAAAGTACAGGAAATTTTTGATTTTTGCCGAGTTCAAAAGTAAACAAATGATGTCATTGTCCAATAAATGTCCAAATAGCCATTCTAATACTCAGTCATGAATGGGTTGATGTAATTTTTACAAATATTACAGTATTGCAGTAGTCTGCATAACAGTAAATCTTCTATTTTTTGTTTGAATAAAATTTCAAAATAAAAAGCAAGAGTAATATCACAGGGACCTGGAGACATGACTGATGAACAAAAAAAAATGTTATTTTAGAGCCAGGAATGTCTGCATTGTTCATTCTGGCCCTTATTTTGAAATTGTCGTATTTTTTAATTTTCATGAAATTGGCCAAATTGCAAATTTCTGACCATGTTATTGGGTAGTTGAAATCGGTAAATGGGCAGTTTCTTGTACTCAATAGATAGAAAAAATAGAGTTCTGAAGAAATAGTTATGAGTTTGGTTGACTGGAATAACGGAATTAGCCGAAAATAGGGCTCAAAGTGGGCGAAATTGCCGATTTTTAAATATCGCCGAAGTCGCTAACTTCGCGAGAGCGTAATTCCGTCAGTTTTCCATCAAATTTCGTTTTTTTGGTGTCTTGACAATCGGGAAAAGATTCTCTATCATTTCATAAGAAAAAATAATTTTTTTTTTTTTTTAAATTTTTGCGACACCAGGAGACACCTCAGGATTTGGGGTTGCGACAGTCAAAGGGTTAACTGACATGATCCATACTTTCCCTAGGCTTTCCTAACTTGTTTAACTCCAAAAATTTTTCTTATTTTTATTAAAATTTCTTGTGAGTGCCTCTCCCACTCTATCATCTGCTCTCCTTTTGCACTCTCTCACCACTCTCTTCACCTTTCTTTTACTCTCCATATACTCTGCTTTTCTTATAACACTTCTGCTTTGTAAAAACCTCTCATAAGCTAACTTTTTCTCTCTTATCACACCCTTTACTTCATCATTCCACCAATCACTCCTTCTTTCCACCTGCCCCCACCCTCCTAGAGATAGGCAAACTTCTGCCCCACTTCTAATACTGCATTTTTAAAACTATTCCAACCCTCTTCAACCCCCCACTACTCATCTTTGCACTAGCCCACATTTCTGCCAACAGTCGCTTATATCTCCCCCGAACTTCCTCCTCCCTTAGTTTATACACTTTCACCTCCCTCTTACTTGTTGTTGCCACCTTCCTCTTTTCCCATCTACCTCTTACTCTAACTGTAGCTACAACTAAATAATGATCCGATATATCAGTTGCCCCTCTATAAACATGTACATCCTGGAGCCTACCCATCAACCTTTTATCCACCAATACATAATCTAACAAACTACTTTCATTAGGGTGCTACATCATACCTTGTATATTTATTTATCCTCTTTTTCATAAAATATGTATTATTACCAATCTCTTTCTACACATAGCTCAATTAAAGGCTCCCCATTTACATTTACTCCTGGCACCCCCAAATTTACCTACTACTCCCTCCATAACATTTTTACCCACTTTAGCATTGAAATCCCCAACCACCATTACTCTCACACTTGATTCAAAACTCCCCATGCATTCACTCAACATTTCCCAAAATCTCTCTCTCTCCTCTACACTTCTTTCTTCTCCAGGTGCATACACACTTACTATAACCCACTTTTCACATCCAATCTTTATTTTATTCCACATAATCCTTGAATTAATACATTTATAGTCCCTCTTTTCCTGCCATAGCTTATCCTTCAACATTATTGCTACTCCTTCTTTAGCTCTAACTCTATTTGAAACCCCTGACCTAATCCCATTTATTCCTCTCCATTGAAACTCTCCCACCCCCTTCAGCTTCGTTTCATTTAATAAATATTTAATAAATATTTACTCCAATTAAAATAGGGCTCTAGCTAATAAATGAAATCTTTCCTCAAAGTTATTTGTGACTAATGCTCGGAACTTGGAGCTCATGGAAACAACTTTGTAAAAGTACAGCTCCTATGTTATCTTAGTCATTCTGCACAGGGAAAACCTTGAAGCCTAATTACTGATCTTGAGAGCTTTCCATATACTCTTTAATTTTTTCCAGGTTAACAGCCATGTGCGTCATCACCCTCCAAATGTTGAATATCCACAACCCCATCCTCGTGATCTTGCTGCTGAGGAAGAGGAAGAAAGTAGGTGCTACATTATTTTAGCATGGTATATTACACTCACTAACATCTCTTGATATTTATACTTGTGCTACAGTGGGAAACTGGAAATTTTTAAATTGAGCTTAATGCACCTAATGTTGAAAGTGGAGGAGTTGTGAATGTATATATGTTAGTAAGTTTCCAGTTACCCAAAATAGTTGGGACCTGAGCCAGTTCACCAACCTGGATAGCACTGTACATTATTGCAGAATGTTTAGAGATTTTCATGGGAATCATATCTGTGGTGCAATTAATATAATGGAATTTTCATACAGATGCACTCTGCATTAATGCTTGTACTTTTAAAATTTGGGTAGGGACAATGCAGTTAACAGGTTATCATTGGGCCATGTCTTTTTTTTTGTGGGGGGGGGGGGGGGGGAGGACCCTGCCTTATTGGACAGTGTTGTTAAAATGTGAAATAGATATCGGCTGAAAAGAGAATTAATAATTAAATAGTTTTAGTGAAGTATACTAGTAGTGTACAAAGTTTGTGTTGGGTGATGAATAATAATGTACAGTGTGTAATTTTGTATACAAAAGGACAAATTATGATTACTTCTGCAGTTGACACACTGCATAATTTGTTGAACTTATTTCTTTTACAGGAGGTGTAAAACTTGGACTTGGAGACTTCATTTTCTACTCTGTCCTAGTTGGCAAAGCTTCTTCATATGGTGACTGGAATACTACCATAGCTTGTTTCATTGCCATTCTCATTGTGAGTAGATATACCATGCATTGTCATAATACTGTGTTCTTTGCTACTTTGATTAGCAATGGAAATAATTTGTTTGTTTATTGAAAGAATGATATAAAATGTGGATTCCATCATGCTTTGTTACTTTGGAGATGTACCTAAGTGATGTTAAGATGTAACTGTGTTTGTTCAGTCCCCACTTTTTTTTTTTTTTTTTTGATAGAAAAAAATCTCTACAGGTAGGTGGAGGACATATAATGTTTACTACATTATATTGCTAACCACCTTTTCCCCTCCAAAAAAAAAAAAAAAAAAAAAAAAAAAAAAAAAAAAAAAAAAAAAAAAAAAAAAAGTTAAAATTTATGGCATGCCTGTCATTTGAACTGTGATGTATTAGTAACGTGAGAGGCTGCAGTTTCGGAGGTGAATCATAGATCAACTTATGCATGTTATAGTAGAATATAAACAGTGTTATGGATAGGTGAATCTTCTAAAACAAAACTTGCAAATGCTGAGAGCTCAGCAAACTACATTCTGACTAAATTTACTGTAGTATCTTAAGTGTTTTTGTATGTATTTCAGTATACAAATGCCATTTTTAAAATAAGCTCTTGTTTTTTCAGGGGTTGTGCCTGACATTAATCATGCTGGCAATTTTCAAGAAAGCTCTGCCAGCCTTGCCCATTTCCATTGCATTTGGCCTTATATTTTACTTCTCCACATCTCTATTAGTTGTGCCATTCACTGAGCAACTTGCTAGTGAACAATTTTATATATAGTACAAGTCACATTTTAAGCCAGTAGGTATATATTTAGCAATGCTTTATATATATTCAACCTAGTGAACCATGAGCAAGTGTGTGTATAAAGAATGATGTCTCAGAAGTAAACTTCAAGATGATTCTGAAGTGTGTGGACAACATTTTAAGGCAGAAGCAGCATAAGAACCCGAGTATGTTATGTGTATTCACTACAAACGAAGTACTGCACCTAATGAGAGAGACATTGCATATGAAGGGCCCTTTTCTTGTAATTGATTTTCAAATACTTGATCATAATAGCTAAAAAGCTAGAATGGGTAATAAACTTCATACAAAAATATGGCTATAGCTTATTCCCATTGTTAATATATAACATTTAATATAAGATTTTCATGTTTTAAGTTTTTAGAATTTGATTTTGTATTGTAGAACTAGCTTTTTACTCAAGTCAGTGCATTATCACATACATTGCAGTCATTGTAAATGACTTAATATTTTTGCAGTGGTCACAGAAGCTTTACATTTGAAAGAAATGTGTCATAGGCCACATAAAAATGATACTATTAAATAGCCAAAAAGTCAGTTCCATAATTTTTTCTGCTATTGGAAAAAAGCATATATACAATTGAAATAATAATTATATCAATGTTTAATTCTAGATATTTAAATACCTTACCTTGAATAAAGGGGAATTCCAGGAGATTACAGCAACCATTTTTTGGAGGCTGTAGCACACTACCATCTACAAATATCTTCAGATTTGGTATTGAAGTCTATGCTATGCTCTGAACTCTCATCTGTAAATCAAAGCTCAGTCTGACAAGCCAGAAATTATGATTTGGTCATTTTGAAGTCTTGGGACAATTAGTATTTATTTGGACAATCATAATTTAGACAATAGCCATCATGTACCAGTTAACTATACACATTCGAAATCAGCAGAGTATAAGGACTCCATTGATATAAATTTTATTTCTTTAGGTGAAAAACTTACTTTTTACCTCTTGATTTCTTCTAGAGGTTATGATGTCATCTGGAGTATCATGTATCATCTGTTTGAGAGGCAAGAAACAGGAACTTGGGGACACTGTTGGAGGTTAAAGGCACAGATATTTGGAAGTATTTCTTCAGTCTCAGCATGGTCAGGAAGTGGAATAATTTTGGTGAGGAATTGGTGAAGGCAGGCCCCATACATAGTTTGAAGAGCAGGTACAATAGAGCCAACGAGGCTAAGGGGAAGTGAATCTGAAGATTAGCAAGTTAAGCAGCAGGGCCTGGATCAGCCAACCCTTGCAACCATGAACAGGCGAGTACAACTATTTACTGCAACTAAAAACAAGGTGAATGTATTATGTACAAGAAACTGCAATAACTGTGTAAAAAATTTTTGTTAATGTTTCCTATCATCCTACTACCCTTTTGCATATTCTTCCATCAAAACATTCCTCCCTGCAGTGCTGTATGACCCTTCTGGGCTTTGTGCATAGTTTGATTATAATATTATTGCCAAGGCAGGGTGACCCAAAGAAGAAAACACATCATTCATTCATTTAATTGCTGTCTTGCGAGAAGCGTACTGACGTCACGCTTCATATTACGCTTCGACTACAACATCCTCGCCCCTCCTTCAGAGTGCAAGCATTACTAGACTTTGGTCCAGCTAATTGGACCCAAGGCTTGGAAATTACACTCAACAACACATCCAGTAAAAGCCACCTCTCTCCATTTGCTCCTATCCTGTTATATGTACATTTCTTTCTGCTGGAAAGAAATGTTCCTATATATGATATCGCTGTTTTCTGTAGATAATACATCTGTCTTTCTTCCTCTTTCAACACACCGGCTGTATCCCACCAAGGCGGGGTGGCCCAAAAGGAAAAACGAAAGTTTCTTCTTTTACGTTTAGTAATATACACAGGAGAAGGGTTACTAGCCCCTTGCTCCCGGCATTTTAGTCGCCTCTTACAACACGCATGGCTTACGGAGGAAGAATTCTGCTCCACTTCCCCATGGAGGTAAGAGGAAATAAAAAAGAACAAGAACTAGAAAGAAAATAGAAGAAAACCCAGTGGGGTGTGTATATATATATGCTTGTACATGTATGTGTAGTGTGACATAAGTGTAAGTAGAAGTAGCAAGACGTATGTATATGAGACAGAATAAAAAGACACCAGCAATCCTACCATCATGTAAAACAATTACAGGCTTCTGTTTTACACTCGCTTGGCAGGATGGTCGTACCCCCCTGGGCGGTTGCTGTCTACCAACCTACTACCTAGAACATCTGCCTTTATCTTTAATTAAATAAATTCTTCAGATGATACCCCAGAGGTCATACAGTGACCCTTAAACTTGGTGAAAAAGTCAACCATTCAGTTTGTGACCTAAAAAAAAAAAACTTGCATCAGTGGATTTCTTGTACATTATTACTTTATTAATTACAAATATGTATACAGTATACATGGGTTGTTACCTAAGTTATGATGTTCCGTAGAAGTGCTAATTGTCCTGTCACGTTAAAATGACCTAGGCCATGACTTTTGACCTATAAATCAGACTGAGCTAAGGTTTATGGATGGTAATATAGAATATCCCTAAATACCAAATATAGAGATTTAGAGATGGTAGAATGTTAAACACTAGTTTTTTTTTTATTTCAGGAACTTGCTCAAGCCCAATTTCTATTTTTAGTTTATTTTTTTTATTAATAAACTGGAATATTTTTGAGATGTGACATTTTCCTTAGTTTTCCTAACAAGCATTGTTTCAAGTAACATGTATCTTAACAGTTTGTTCAACAGGAATCATAATGTTATCAGCTCAAATCTCCTCATGCAGAATGGGTGAGGTTTGAACTTATGGCAAGCCACTCCAAAAACTAGCAGGCCAGTTCTTTGCCCACTAAATCATATTTCCCTATTAATATTAATCCAACTAGGTGTATTCTGTAGACAAACAAGGTTAGCAAGGGCCCCTCTATGACAGTAGTTTTCACAAACTAATCTCTCACTACCATGGTTTGTGAAAACCTGCATTTGTAGTTATAGGGGGTCTATGCTAACCTCCCCAGTTTATGGAAATGCACCTAGTTGGATGAATCCTATTAGGCTGATATGATAAGATGGTTAAGGCATTGGCCTACCAGTTTAAAGACTGGCTTACTATGGGTTTAAACCTCGCTCATTCTGAAAGTTGTTAAGTCGTTCTATTATGATTTCGAGTCATTCAAGCCTGTTAGATGTATAGGACATTTAAGCGAACAGCAAAATAAACTCTCAATAAAGTAAGGAGTGTAAGAGTTTACTTCACTTTTAAAAACAAATATATATTGTGTGATTATATGAAATATTGGGCTTTAAATTTCTATTCACATCAGGGTAAGCCTTTAGTGACTTGAGTTATTTAAAGTTTCTTGATTTGCATATATGTCAGTGTAGAATATTTTGTAATTTTAAAGGTCACTTCTTAGTTATTGGTACTTTAGGTTAATATGCGAAATTCCATTCTAAGAATTTTAATGAATACTTTGTGAAAATGTGAATTTAGTTTATTGCATCAGGAGATATACATATGCTAATATGAAGTAACAAGTCATTTTACTTAAGTGATGGTTAGAAACATGTGAACCAAATACTTAGGATATTTTATTGTGGATAAGTTTTTATTTTGGAACCTTGTTCACTCTAAACATAGCTGGGGGCATGAGAAGCTTGCCTCATGAATGGGACACTGCACGTGGCATACCAGTCCATGGCAGATCCTTCTCAAATCTAACCCTTCTAATGCATGTATTTGTTGAACTTATTTTTTCATGCTATCTAAGCTTTGCAACTCACTTGACTTCACTAAAATTCAGCTTACCTCCTTATATAACCCTAAGTTTCTCATGCCCACATATGTTTGGGGTGAATAGTCCCAGGACTGAATATATCCACAATTAAGAGTGCTCACGTGTCTTTAACCACAACTTGTTGGTATCATATACCAGGTTTTCAACTTTGTAAGTTTTACCTCACATTGAGGATTGTTAATGGCAGTAAAGATTATGGTTAACATATTAAAGGTTCACATTCATGAAAGTACCTAAATTTGTTATATTTCACTTCCCCACTTAAAGCAGAAGACAGTCCTCAGCAAGCATTTTGCTTACATTATTTATTAGTAACAGTACTTGCTGAAAAGTAAAGTCTTTTGAGAATATTTATATTTGTGAACCTTACTCCATTCTCAGTCTAGTGGTTGGAAGAATTGTTGGTTATTAAAGAGCAAACCTGATTACCTCCCATTCCCCAGGTGCTGTTCAACCCCTACGTGTTTAAATGCTTTCCCTTAAATATAACGAGCGATGATGATGATGATGATGATAATAATAACCATTTAATTACTCATAAAGACTAATCCTTCATTCTCTGCTTTTGAGAATGATAATAGGAGAAATTTTAAATAATTTTCTTTTAGAATAATACTTAACTGCATAGGGATTGCTGAATGACCTATACAGATTTAGTGCTTTGTGTATATATTAATAATTATTTGCATATGATTTGTATCAACTAAATATTAAGTCTCTCTTCAACATTTTATATTTCTTCAAAGTAAAACTTTTAAGATAAAATGTAATGTAATGATTCTATGAGCAATCTTCTATTATTTATGTTTCCTCTAAATGCCTCCTAATTCCAAAATTTTAGGTTAAGAAAATATTACAGGCAATACTCTGAGGTGAAAAAGTTGCAGTTTTTTTTTTTTCCAACTCTAAAGAAATGGGGATATCATGCTCACTGTTATTGTACATCTGCTTTGTTTTGTATATAGAGTACATATTTTTTACACTGCTGTCACTGTTATACAAATCTTCATAACATTTGCAAAAGTTTAGAAATGATGCCTAACAAGAAATAATTCAACACATTTTATTAGGGAAAACAAGAGACTTGGAAATGTGCTTCCGATAATCCCTTAATAGCGGGTGGAGTGTATCCAGGTCTTGCTGTATATCAGTGCTAGATGATACTCCTAGAGGTTGTACAGTATAGCTTATGTATACAGTACTTTATGAAACTAGTATGCTTATAAATAAGCATATGGTTTGGGTTCTAAAGTGTCTTTAATATATATTTGAATTGTAACAGTAAGTTACATTCAGGAAGCTATTTTTAAATAATACTATCAAAAGCTGCTGATTGGAGTATTCCTGATATCAATACTTCGTCTCGGTGGCAGATTTCAGCAGTTTGCAGATATGGAGTAGACACTGATTCAGTATCTCTGTATCTGTGATCAGGCATGTACCAAGGAAGACAGAGTAAAATCAGGGTCAAGCTGAGATTGCTGAAGCTCATAGCCTCTTTTTTAACAATTGATTTAGTATTGTATGCTGTTTTACTGACTGCAAAGTTTTTACTAGTAGAGAGGACACAGCTTTCATTTATCATAGGAAGAAAGGTAAAACATAATGAGGTTAATCTGTAAAGCTGTTGAAGCAATAACCCCCATTATCATTTTGTTAATGACAACCATAAGAAATGAATGATAGTTTCAAAGAAATAGTTTAAGTTGTTTTGTAAACAAGTGAATGTTGGAAAGGATTTTTAACTTTGTTCTCAGTACAAGCTGTATTATAAATGCATTATAGCTTGTAAAGTAGGAATCTAGATCAACATTAGAGTACAAATTAAATTTTTTTTACACTGAATGTGAGCTTAGCTTTGAAAGATTTGACTGAATTGCGACGACATTTGAATTTGAAGAATAGACTGTGGAAAGAAGTCATAAAATTAAAGATTGCTTTTACAAAATGGGCACAGATATTTAAAATTTCAACAAAATGATATTTCAGAAGAATTAGATATTAGAAACCTATAATAAAATTAAGAATAGAGGAAACATAGATATATGAGAGGTGAGAGTATGGAAGAATAAGATTTGAGGCAAGGTGTAGCAGAGGATCCTTTTAAAAGCACACCATTTTGCCCAAGGCTGAGCTTTATCAAGTTATTCAAGGCAGGTGTTGTCTTTGGTACCAGCACTTGTTCGGAGGCAATTTTGAATGGTCCACCCTACTGCGTAGCATGGAAAACAATCGATATGATACTATATTAATCATTCCAATATAAAACTGTAGGTGATTTGATGTAATAGTAAAGTATTTGTTTTTTTACATGTTACTGTAGAGGTGTGGTGCGACTGTAGTGCTACAGTTAGATACAGTAAGAAACCCCCCTTTTTTATGTTACTTGTGCAGTCATCATATGTTACCATGACATTTGTAAAGTTATCAAGTGGTAGATTTTAAGTAATTTGAATGTTTATAGCAAATTCTCACCTCAACCATGTGTTCTCTCCTGAGACTTAAGTATCAGTTCTAAGTTTTATTAGCATTTCAAAGAACTAGTCAGATTGTTGCAGAGTTCATTTTCCTTGCAAATAAACTCATCACTAGGAAACTTTCAGTACTGTTATTTGGGACCATTGATTTTTGATAGCTTAAGAGAGAACACCAACTTTATTTTAGCATTTAAAAAACTTTTAAGTGGAATGGTTCTCCTGTTGCAATGACTGCTTTTATGCCCAACAATTCTTTAAGCTATTAATGGAAAATTTTTGATGTTTTTTAGTTGGCACTTAAAAAAAAAAAAAAAAAAAAAAAAAAGTCCTTTTAGATCATCCATTTTGTAAATTTTGGAGGAGAATATTTCTTTTATTTATGGCAGATTGTGCTAATAGATTTTAGCTAAGGGTTTGGTATGGATTTTTTAGGGGAGTATAAGATGTATCAAAATCACTGAGCTGGTCACTCAGTCACATTTGGTCTGGGGTAAATTTCCTTCTGTTGAGGTTGTGAAGAATGTATAGTTTCAGCTTTAATCTTGCCATGTGCCCACAACAAATCTTTGATTAATAATGATACTGGTAGTTTCACAAAGGGTGTACTGCATCCTAGCAGTCCACAAAGTCAGTATTGTTGGTTGTACTGTATTTATATACTACATATAAACTGTATATGGGGAGTTCATAGTATCTTTTTCTACTTGGTTTTTATCCTTTTATAACTAGTCAAATGACATTCAATTTTGTAATCTGAGAAGAGGGCATAAGGTCTTTAGTAACTCAAATGCTAAATCTAATACTTACTGTGTATTCATTGCACTCTTCATCATCCAAAATTTTTATTGCAACAAGCTCTTATTATATTTGCATCACATGTTGGGAAGCAGTGCATTCATGCTTTATGCATAGCTCAACATTCCATCCTCATTCAATATATTTAACAGGATATGAATGGTTAGTGTGATTGGCTTTATATAATTGTGTAGAACTTGTGTATTCTATGAGAACTTTAATGTGATTTTAATAAATTTGAGAATGAGTATGTTACAAAATTGCTTTCATATCCTTTTCTTTTTCAGTTGACATCTGTAGTTTGTTTATTTACCATACAGTCCTTAGATTAAATTATGTTATTTTGTAATTCTTTGAAGTTAACAATTTTAAATTTTCAGATTAAACGGTGTTTTGGCATTATGGGTTGCACTCTACATCTTGTTTATGTCCTTTAACTGTAGCTAATTTTTTACTGTGCAGTGTATACATATTTTTATTTTGTGTAATAGGTCAGTTTCATTTAGTCTTCTAATTTATAAGTAATAATTGCCAATGCTTAGAAAAGGGATGAATTATTGCTTTAGACAATGTGCATAACAGCTGACACGTTTTGAAAATGTATGGATTACTTGAAGGTGTAAGTTGTTGAAATGATGTTTTATGAGGGAAGAAAAGCACATTTTAGGGGCTGTACATGAAAAGGGAAATGGTTTCCAGTAAGACTGGGGGCTTATAAAGGATATGTGATGTTACCAATATACCTTAGCAAGGTCAGTGTTAAATGTTAAATTGTTTTGAAAATATTGTAATGAATAAACTGCCAAGAAAATTTGTAGACACTGTTGAGAACATATTCTGCCCACTTCTGACCTGATCCTACCTCTTGGTTTGTAATTTTCCTGCCTCCTCTACCGTTCTACTCTTGATACTACTGGACTTCTATTGCCATTTTGCATATGTTCCTTGCAACTTCTCTTCCACTACTGAAAAATCTTGACTAGTAATCATATACCTATGTAGTTTTCACTACCTTTTCAATTTTCATTTGTCATTTATATTTTCATTTGGATTTTCGAGGAAATCTGGCAGAGCTTCATCTGTTGGTCCATTTTTTCTCTTGAGTATGTATTTACCTACTTTATGTTAAATATTGCCATGTTGCATGCTTTTATCTGTTCCTTTGCAATCTGTTAGTCCGTAGCCTGGTGAAAGGGACATTTGCAGTATAAATAGGTGATTTTTAGATTATCATCCCGAAGGATTGGTAACCCAGGATAACCTAATAGTCAGCACATCAACCAAGACTTGTTATCATTGAGGTTGTTTAATCCTATCCCCAGGATGCAACCTGCAAGTCGACTAACACCTGGGTACATACTTAGTGCTAGATGAACAGGGGCAGCAAGTGTAGGGAAATATGCCCAACATTTCATCTGTACTGGGAGCAATCCCCTGTCTGTGTGAGCTGAGGATACTATTAACCAAGCCATGAGCAATCCTCTATTGAAAATGCTTCACCCATAAACCATACCCATGCAATGGGCTTTGTCACAAACATGAATCTGGAGAGGGAGGGTAAGTATACAAGGAAGGGCAGTAAGGTGGACAGTCAGGTTAGGTGTAAGATGAGGGGTGGGTGTAGGTCTTCTTAGCGTGGGTTGATAGGCTGATTAAAAAAAAAAAATTCTTCTGAAATGGTAGATAATCTGTTCTGAAAGTAATGACACCAAAGGTATGAAATTTGATGGGAAGAACTCGGAATTATGCAGGCACAAAGTTAGCGATCTTAACACAATTTACACACCAGCAATTACACCTGCCAAGTCTTATTTTAGCCTAATTCCATTGTTCCAGTCGACCAGATTCTTAGCTATTCCACTATGCCTTCCATTCTATTGATTTAGCACAAGAAAATGCTCATTCAGCTACCCTATACGTAAAGTTATCAGAATTTGGTAATTTTTGCCAGTTTTTCACACAATTCAAAAAATACCATTTTAAAAATAAGTCCATAATACACAGTAGACATTTCTGGCACTAAAACATTTCCTCTGTTCATTAGTCACATTCCCAAGTCTCTCCTATATTACACTCGCTCTTTATTTTGAATTCTCATTCACATAAAAATAGATTTACTCTGTTTTTCGGATGAAATATAACCAGGATTATTCATGGTTTACAGGATCCCAGTAATTGAATTAGATCTATTAAAAACCCATAAAACAGACTGGGGGTTGTAGGGGAGACTTGCCTGTCCTCACAAATATTGGGAAAATCTAATATTTCTGCTAGTTTGACCTCAATTTCAAGCTACTTCCAATGTTGAAACAATCAAAATCATCTTAATTTCAGTCATGTATCTTCCATTCTATCAAATGATACCAAGAAACAGCCAAGAACCCATAAAAAACATTTGAGAAAACACTTGCAGATTTGCTATTTTAAATCATAAATACTGTTAGTTTTGTTTTTCCCATCATGCACTGTGGGGGGGGGGGGGCAGGATTTTTGATGCACAGAACCATTCTCTTGAATCTATGCCAAAAGTTACCACTCACAACTTGTCTGAATGAGCTGAGCTCATGATTTGGCACTACATCAGGGACCCTGGCCTCAGTGAAGTAGATCTACGTGATGGACAGCAAAGAGGTCGAGATTTTACTGTACTTTACCTCTTCAAGGGGGGCTCCTTGGTGTGGTGAAGAGGCTCTTGGTCTGAGGAATTAGACCTGATGGTCTCCTTCCTCAGACCAAACCTAATACCCCCCCAATCCCCCCTTCCCTATCCCATCCTCCCTACCCTCCCTTTTCCCTTTCCTCCTCCTCCCCGTCCCTCCCTTATTCCCTTCCTCTTTTTGGCCTGTAGGATTCTTCCCACAGGCATGCTGGTTCCTCGGTAGGGGGAAGGGTACCGGGGTCCATCCCATTCTGTTGAGGTTCTTGGAGGTGGCGTAGTTTGCCGTGGAATCTGGATTGCCTGGAGATGTCCTGATCCCTCTCCGGTATCCCGGGGGGTGGCTTTGGGTGTCTTTTGGACAACGAGTATATCTCTGGAAGCCGCCTTTTGAATTCCGGGGGTGGTGGCCGAAGGAGGTAAGCTTTGTGGCGGATATCCGGCCGCCTTCTCTTTTGTCCACCGAGGTAGCTCGGCAGATGTGAGGTTGCTATCCCGGATTGCTGGTTTACTGGCATGAAGGGTAGGGTATGGCACGGGTTCCATGCTGCATCTGCGCTACTTGCGGTGCTGATGTCCTCTTGGGCGCAGAGGGAGATTTCTGGCCCTTTCATTCCTCCTAGGAACTATTCCTCCTTACTCCCCCCCCCCCTTTTTTTTTATTCTTTTTTTTATTTTTATTTTATTTTTTTTTTCTTAAAAACAAAAAGACAAGAAGTAACTTAACCATGGAGATCCCAATCCATGAACTTCCTACCCCCGGGCCCCTTCTTGATACCGCACCCCATTCTGACCCTGCCTCGTTTTTTGACCACTCTTCGGACACCCCTGATGCCCCTGTACCTCTTGCTGGTGCTGTTTCCTCACCCGCTTCAGGTACCGGGGCTTCGACTGACTCCTTCGATTTGTCTCGGCTCTCCTTTGACTATGCTTCCGGCCTCTCTACAATGCGGCAATTTTCGAATCGCCAGCCTGTTTCATGTCGGACCAACTCCGGTCCCACTCCTAAATGCCAACGACAATTGCCTGATGATGATATTTCACCACCTTCTCGTTCTTCTCAGAAACGATCAACCCGTCATGCACTCCCTTTCCACGCTCAGTTTCAGAATGCACAATGGACTAAATTCTTTACTTTACGATCAACTTCCTCTAGTGCCTATCTTTCCAACCATAGTATATTGGCAAGGCGCTCCTACGACATGTTGGTAGAGATATTTCCTTTTATGCTCTTAAGAGCGGTACGCGTATCATCACTGTTCAGAATGCTACCCAAGCTCATGATCTTTCTCTTCTTTCGCATATCGATACTATTCCAGCCACTATTGAAAAACACCATTCCCTCAATTCTTGTAGTGGTACTGTCATTCTGCCCCATACCATAGTCCAACAGAATTTGCAGACATGTGGCAATGACATTCTCGAACAGCTGGAACTCCAAGATCTCCCAATCCTCAAGGTAGATGATTACGTTCTTCCTGCCCGCGGGCGGAGGCGATACCCTTGCAATGTGGCTCAATTAACTTTTGACAGCCATGAACTCCAATCGTCTGTTTATGTAGCAGGACATCGGTTACAAGTTCGAAAGGTGACCCCTACACCACAACAGTGTAGAAATTGCTGGAGATTTGGTCACCCAGTGAAATATTGCAGGTCTATATCTGAATGCCCAGTCTGTGGTGCCGATGACCATTCTAATACATCTTGCAGTGCCTTAATTGTCATGAAGCTCACCCTTCGTACTCTCGCTGTTGCCAGGTCTACTTAAATGAGCGTGAAATCCATTGCCTCAAAGAGGCAGAAGGTCTCCCTTATGCTATGGCAGTTTCTCATCTCTGACTCCAAGGGAGACTACCCCGTGTTTCTTATTCTCGTGTTTCAAAATGTCCCCCCACTTCTGGGGTCCCATCTTCTGCAGCCTCCTCTGTGGTTACCCCTCCCATAGCCACTCCGGTATCTAATTCTTTTGCTGTCCTGGGCTCTGACGTCCCTACTACAACACCTCAGTCTGTTCTCACATCTTCGCCTCCTTCCTCACAAGCCCTGGTATCGACAAGATCTCGTACGACACTTTATACCAATCGCCCCTCTACTTCTCAGAAGTCCAAAAAATCCCCATTGCTCAAATCTTCTTTGCCCCCTCCTTCCATTCTTCCATCTCTGCATTTTACTTTTCCAGTCTCTGTGCCTAGTTCTTTCCCTCTCTCTGGCTCTTACAAGTGTGGAGGTTCACCCTCCTCCTCGTACTATGCCTTCCACCCCCGTTCTCTCCCAAGTTTCTCCCTCTTCTGCCACCTCCCAGGTTTCTGTCCCCTCCCACACTACTTCTCCAGTCCCCTACACTCTTTTGTCCCCCCCTACTTTGGTACAGTCCATTACTGTCCCAATCTTTACTCACCCTCCTCCTTCTACCTCCAATATTGTCTCCCATACGTCTTTGAATTCAGAAACACTTGAAGCCATTTCAGAATATATTGCAGAAACTAAACCTTCAATGGACACTGATCCACCTCCTGTTCCTTCTCTTCCCTCTCCTCCATCTCCACAACTCCATTCTTCACAATGCTCCGTTCCTTCGCTGCTTGAACGTCTTCCGATGCCACC